GAAAAACTAAGATGAGGTTTAAAATGATCTTGAATTGGAAGCTGCATACTGTTATTTACTTGAGACTCATTAAAACCAGGATTGTCTCTTTGATTATCATCAAGCATTACTTTTACTTCAGAAATTTTATTAATAGTTTCATCTTCAATATCACTATTTTCTTCATGCAAAATATTTTCAAATAATACAGATAAATCACATAGGAAAGAGACAATTCGGGTTACGACTTCCGTTTTTGAAACCTTCTGAATTTATGCACAGTACATTGCAAACTTTAATTAACTCATTCAAAGTAAAAACTATTCTGCACTGTATCTATTTTCTTATTAAATTCTTCAGAATCTGGTTTAAATATAAAGCCAGAAAATTCACGTAATCTTTTCCGGTTATTTCGATCTCCATCAGTATTAAAAATAAGCTTATGCAAACTTTTGATTTCAGAACTTTTACTGTTCTTTAAAGCTGCTTCCAATTCTGGAATTTCTACTAACTTCATATTGGAAAGAAAGTTTTGTACTCACCCGACAGATGATCGTCGTCAATTGGGTAATCCACACTTTATACGAGTAATCCAATAAATCGAATAACTTGTGACAACAGTTCACTCAGTTTCACAGTTCAAAGCACAGTTCTACTACTCGCACATTTTGGAATTCGAGGCCGCACGGTTGGTCGCCATATTTTTTTGTAGAATTTGACTTGAATTCACAGCATGAGAGCACGAAGTAATATTTAAATGGTTTGTTTAATAGAAAGAAATAAAAGTATATAAAGAAAAGTATATAAAGATGAAGTTAACGGTATGCAGGATTAACATAATGATGTAAAGGCATAACATCGAAAGCACAATCTTAAGTTCATAAACTCTTGAAGACGTGTGAGCCGTCTGCTCACGTCTGCCCTCCACTCTCGACCAGGTCTCAGCGCTGTCTGGGATGATTCTTACTGCGCTGGGTGATGCTATACTGATGACGTCATAATCCTGGTATTCTAATTCAGCATTGGACGTTGATGACTCCCACATATATGAGGAACTATAGTCGATTTACTGAATTCATACAACCATTCTGGGGATTCCCGAAAAGCATAATATTTTTCTAAGAAATATGCAGAAAGTACCGAGAAGTTGAAAGATGTATAGCTAGCTGCGAAACATTCGTGTAACACGAAGAAACTGAGAACATATAGTATGAACACGCTTCATATAATGCGTAGTGATTTTCGATAATTTAACTTTCATATTTGCTAATTTTGTTTGATCTTTTTTGATCCATCCTTAAACTTTTAATTTTCTGAAGTATTACCATTTTCTTATATATATATATTGTTGCTTAGTATCATACAAAATTGGAGAATTCTTTCATATTTCGAAAGAATTTGAGAGCTATTACAAATAAGTCATAGCATTTACAAGCAAAATACGGACATGGTATAATCAAAGAATTTGACTTAATTTCTTATAACTTCAATTAAATTTAAAGTTAGTTATATATTATATTAAAAAATATTTTTAATTCGATGACATGCAAATAATATTAAATATTCAAAATTCTATGCACTGAAAGAGAAAAACATTTTTAAATAGGCAACCCCAGTGGAGTATACTATACTACTTGGAATTTTCATCTATGCTTAACAAGTATAATTGTTCTATTTTTGAGACAGTTGGTATAGTAAAATAACTGACAGCAGTAGTTCTGTGAAAGGAAGAGAACTGAGAAACAAAGCAAAGAAAACTGAGATATCAATAGGAAGTTACTAGACAAAGGTATCACTGCCAGTGACGTCTTAATGAAGCTGTCAAGACAAAAGTAGTTCTACGAGCAGAGATGCGGCTCCGCCTTCTTATCTTTTCCAATCAGCATCTTGGAAGGTACAGACGGTCTAAAAAGTTGATGGAAACAAAAATTCTGATAGCTCCATTCTTCCAAAATTAATTCTAATGCAACTTCTCTTGTAAGTGACACATGGTATTGTGTTTTCAGTGTTGAGAAGATTGGGTACTAAATAAATCAGTATTCGTTCGAGGAAGAAAAAGAAGAAAGAATTCAAAAATAAAAATTCAGTGAAAATAATGAGCTTACTTTTCGGTTCAACGTTTTACAAAATTATTTTGCATTGTTTCAAAAGTTCTGAATATCAGTCATTTGTTTATTGTTTTAGACTAAATATTACATTAATGTTTTATATTAAATATTGTTCCGTGCGTACGGGTGTATTGAATGCAACGATGATAGCTTGATAAAATTTATTTTCCCCAAAGAAACACTTTACAGTTCTAGAACCTTCTTTAAAAGTAGTCGTAGCTGTTCTGAGTATAACTGAGCACAATCAATAGTTACCACTTCAAACTATCAATAACATTAAACACAAGGCACTGCAAAGCGCATCCAAACAGCGAAGCTCGCACGGAGATCTCTCAATACTCCGAAGTCAGCTCTGAACTAAACTCTGAACTCAAACTGAGAATTTATGCTCTGTCCGGTCTTATATAGTTTTCCTTCCGCTGCCGAAGAATTTACAGTACCTTCCATTTCTCGAAATTACTGGAAAGCATATATTGTTAAAGTTACATACGGTTACAGTTACATATAGGGATCAATTACTGTTATTCAATTACAGCACCAATTACAATAATGATAGCAATAATATTTGATTTACAACGATAATATTAATTTTGTGATACAGGGACGGGACAAAAATTTCGCCAAATGGTCGCCACGTTTGGCAACTTTTGAAGAATTTTTGCCAAATCTGACGACAAAAATTACACGCCAAAACCATCGCCAGGTTTGCGATATCTACCAATATAACGAAACAGCCATTTACTTCAATGTTAAATAGACTTGCCCCTGCAATCTTATTTTTTCAGCAAAGTTTTGCTGTTTCGAGGCACTTCATGTTACATTGCACAAGAGATAATACAATTTTACATATAATTTCACTAAAATCATTTACATATATACAAAATTCGTAACAACATGTTTTGGATTAAAGCTCTCGGTAAGCAGAGAAGGTTCTAGAAGAATCCGACAGAATTAGCAATTGTGCCAGTTGTGTCCGTTCCTGACAAATACTGATATGTAGCTTAAAATCTTGAATCAAAAATCAAAAATACTTGTCTTTTATATTTTGAGATTTCTAATTCCCGAAAAAAGTTACTAGACATCTCGTAATTTTAAAAAGTAAACTGTTTTTCATTTTTTTTGGACAAATGATTTCTAAAAATTTATAATTTATTTTCTCATTAAACTAGCCAAATGAAGAACAGTCTCTTGATATGGGATAGTAATTTTGTCATTTAAAATGAAATATTGGCTTAGTACTGAATATTATGGAGATGAATTTTTAGATTTCGATTTTCAAACTCGTTGTTTTTGCGCAAAGGTTTCTGGCTGAAATTTGTGGATTAAAGTGTTATTACAAACAACAATTATTTTAAAACAAAAAAGAATTTTATTTCAAGGTGTAGTTGCTTATATATTTGTTTATTTATTTACTTGCCTTGTAGAGTCATTATTTTAATTGGAAGCAGAAAAGATGAAAAATATGCAACGGCCTTCGCCGGGAATCGAACCATGGACCTCTGGAATACCGGCCCAGGGTGCTACTGTTACACCACGAAGGCACGCTAGGGAAGTGGGAGAAATACCTTATAGCCTCACCAAAAAAAGAAACAAACTAAATAATTCTTCTCCCTGTAAACTCCCTAAAAAATATATTTCTTAGTAGGTCAAAGAGTCTAGATACTGCTTCAAATTGCAGAATAACAAATCTGCGAGACAATCATCTACCTCGTAATTTTGAATATTATCACCATAATAAGATTACTATCTGTCTCTACATCAAAATCCAATCGATTCGAAGAAATTTCTTTGCTTTTCCTTCTGAAGCCCAATACGGACTAATGAATGCTATATATTGTTTCTGTGAAGAAGTGTAGAATAAGAAAATAGGAAAGAAACGCAAATAGTGTTGCTAAATTTCTTCATGATTCTTTCGTTTGTCCTAAATTTCATAAAAACTCGGTAGCAAAAAGTTAAATCTTCTAAAAAAAAGCAGAATATATTATACAAGGATTATAAAATCTTATCTTTTTAGCTATCATGCAATATGACTAGATTTCAAAGTTTAACCTGACAATTTCTCGCACAGGCGTGAAGATGAACACGATAGGAAAAGGGTGTATAAATCCCTTTTTATTCTCTTTAAAAGAAAGGTACGGACTTTGTGCTTACAATAACACCGAATAATTGCGGTGACAATTTAACGAGATACTTATGGTGAGAAGATAGTTTAACAATAAATTCAAAAGCTAAAAGGTAGTGTTAGACTACATGGTTTAATTTAATCTAACAGGCTAACTCAGCAACCTACACAGGATATACTAACTAAACGGCCAGAATGCGTAGTCGCTAATAAGATTAACAGCTGGAGGACAAAATAGGAAACGTGCGCTACACCGGCGAAATCATGCTCTGTCTAACCTTCTCGTTTCATCCTTCGTTCTCGTTCTTGCATCCTGGTGAGGAAATAAGAGAATTCAGAAAAGATACCAAAATTAAAATAACAGGTTAGTGAGCTAAGGGACTTACAAGCTTTTAAATCATAAGCATGCTAACCATTTATTAAAGAGGAAAAAATATCTGTAATTTAGCTTTTGAATAAACTGCTCATTCAAATTTCAGTATAGGAATAATCCTCGAGTTTCTATAAAAACATAAAAAACAATAATAATAATAGTAATTAATAACGGAGACAAATTGTATTTCTTTGACACATTAAAAATTGTATTTCTTTGCCTGAAAAATGCAATATTAATTATTTGAATTAACCACAACTTTATTATTTCCAAGAGATTTATATCAGCTTAATCATTTCAACTTAAAATTGCTTCTAAGCTGAAAATTTCTAAAATATAAGTGAAAACCTAAAAGTTCTGAAACTGGAATATGATTGAAATAAATTGGCCAGACATCATGCGCAAGAAAAATAAATAACTGAGCATATTTATTTACACATTGAGTACAGCGAATGAACGAAATATCGAGAGATTTTCGCTACAAAATAATGAATTTAATAAACCGCCATTGTTCGGTGTTTTGCTTTGCGTATTTTTAACCTTTGCATTCTGTCCAAAAATTCAGTTTCCTCGCATGGAACAACAGAGAGGGCAAGCATTATTAACATATTGTCAGAATTTAAAATTTAAAATGTTTCTTTATCACTGCGTGTTTTAATTCTGGTTTAAATGTCAGTCAAGTTGTATGCCAATTATGATGCATCCAAAAACACTCTCTTCCAATGTTCCATCATTTGTAACATTATCTGCTGAAACCTGTTTATGATTTTAATGTTCTCTTCTTATTTGCTGTCTGCTAAAATGCATGCGAAACAACTCATGCTTCCTTTTAATGGATGTGTGGGTTTTGAGGGAAATAACCATAAAAAATGATTTTAAATCCCTTGACCTCGAAGTTAAATGTGAAAGTCCAAGGATTTCTAGCTTCTTGTACGTTTCGATTTGTATTTTGTGCTATCACATCATATTTAATATTCAGTTTATTGTTATTTTTAACACATCGCTAGTAACGCAGATGTTGTGGGTGAAGTATGGGTTTAGTCTGGTTGAAAAATGAAATATGGAAGAATCTAAATTTAATTCAATTTTAGGATGATGAGTTAAATAGAAGAATTAAACTTCGTATGGTGATTAATTTTTTTTAAACATTTAGAATTAAAATATGTTCATCTTTCTTTTGAAGCCCACCAGCGGCCGAGATAAATGGCTGAGTATTGGTAGTTTCAGCTCGGATTTAAGTCCCTGCGAACGGATTGGTTGCGTGGCAGTCTTCATGGTTTACTCCATCTGTAATGTGGATAGAAAACAGTTTCTCTTAGGAAGTCTTCCACGAAGACATCCCTTTCTTTAGGCAAGTGATCCTTGCAAACATCCTTTACACTTATTCTTTATAAGTATAAAGGAAAGTTTTCAAGGGTTAAGCAATCTTTCATTCTATTAAATAGTTCATAAACATTCCATTTCTGTAAACATTCTTCCATTCTGCACAGGACATCCAAAATAAGGTTGATCTGTTTTTGGACTCGCGGCCACAAAGTTTCTGGGCTTCGACCTAGGAAAAAAATCATATCGATGAAAAACTACCAAAACGATGGAGAGAAAAAAAAAACATAAATTTGTCTGGTGATTACTACCTGCACTAAAGGTACTGCCTTCATGTGTTTTTTTTAACTTATTAAGAACGTTTTTTTGGCGAAAAACTTTCGTTACAACTAGATATATATCTTATATAGCTCAAAAACGATTAGCCGTAGACCGTTGAAATTAGCATATGGGACTGGTATAACGTCTAGTTTTGTACGTCTAGTTTCTATTGCAATTGGTCGTACCAAAAGTATATATAATATATAATATATATATATATGTGTGTGTGTGTATATATATAACATCTTACATAGCTTAAAACTCCTTACTAGGTCTGTATTTTCGTAATCATTGGTCACAGTGATGTACTTCGAATTACAAAAGTGTTTTAAATGGAGAAAACATTCATGTTTGGGTAATATCAAATTTAAAAATATTAATTTTGAACAAATAATGAAATCTAACCCTTAATGCTTTCTCCAGGTTCCTATATTTATATATAGGAAAGTACTCATTATTAAAACTCATACTTGTTAAAAGAAAATATAAAATTATGAAAAGTTTGGCTCCCATACGAGAAAAATTGACCGGAATTTTTAATTTCAAAATTTGAAATTGTTTATATCATTTTCAATTTGCCTGGAAGGACCGGTTAACTAAGTTAGACTAATTCGAGGAAATGAGTTTAAATGAAGTTCAGCAAAAACTGTATAAATTAATAGGTTGTACAAAGAAGTCATGTGGTGTTCATATCATATTCTTTTCGTCTTTATGTATACATATATCGTGTACAATTAAATACCTTAGATATACACATCTGTCACGAAAGTCCTTACCCGGCCTCTATATTCCTAACCGCGGATCGTAGAAAAAAACATTCTTCTGATTCCAACAGCATTTTAAAAATGCAAGTATTCATATTTTGGCATTTTTAAATTTAAAACTATCAGTTTTGTAAAATTATGAATGTATATTAGAAAAATTTTGTACTCAAAACAAAACACAAAATGTGTGACTCCCATACGGCAAAAATTGATCAAGATGTATCATTTAAAAGCTGAAGATCATAATCAGTCACTGTTACATAAACTGAACAGAGAAATATCTGCATTTGTATGTAATTAAAAATATCCGTTTAGAAAAACATTTCTGAAGTTAATAGATTAAGTGACACCATACACGCAGATTGTCGTGAAAAATATTGATAAAAATAAAATACTTGAAAAAGTGATCTTATGCAAATAATTTTAAAGAATTCATGTTCAAGAAAACACAGGCAATATTCAATATTGGCATATAGCCAACTGATAACATTTTATGTATAAAGTAGAACTATTTCTGGTTAAATTGAGTTTTCATAGTTGTTTGTGATTCTAAAGTAATAAAACTTCATGAGAGTATTAATTACGCATTTTTAGAGTTCGAAATCTTATAAATTACTTGTATGAAAGTCTTTTGGGCATCAAAACTCCCGTAAAAAGAATATCAGTGAATGGTATTAAAGGGGCAAAATCAACTTAATCAACAATTAGTCTAATTTATTAATCAACCTACCTCTCAAGGAAAATGGAAAAGGACGTCAAATACCCTACATTTTGAAATTAAATATCTCGGATAGTTTTTGTCGTACAGCAAATGAATATAACATTTTCTTAAATATAAAAACTGACGGAAGGTATAAAAGTTCGATTTCGAAATTTAAAAGAAGTTTTTTTAATATAAAAGAATCAAATCGGGAATATTTGTGTCAATTAAAACAGTTTTGTGTTGGAAGTATATGCTTACGATCAAAGGTTACGAAAATAAAGTGAGCGTAAGGACTTTTATGGGCACGGTATATAATTTGTGTAAAGAGTTCTCTTAACCTTAAAGGTCGATAACTTGTAAAGAAAATTAAGAGTAAAATTACTTGCGTTTAATGTAAACTTATTAAATTATAAAAAAGAACTTATAACATCTCCTCCTATAAATACGAAATTTAGCTTATCTTCGTATATGTGCTGTTTCAAACATTTAAAGAAGTAAATTAAAATTTTCATTTTAAATCGAATGTCCTTTTTCTAGTAAGATTTCATAGTTCACATAGATTTTCACAGTCATTCCTGAAAGATGAAATGGCTTTCAAATCTATTAGTAAGACAGTAAACGTGTAAAATGAAGCTATGATTGAAGACTGTCTTACAGATTAAATATCACCGAAGTCAAAATGATAATACTCTGATCGAAAGTAAACTAGATAAATTTTTATGACGATAAAACTTCGCGCAGTGTCGATTATCTTTCGTATTCGCGGCGAAATATGTATTTTCTTTTCCGTTAAGTTATCCTTGATTGGCTACATTTTAGACTCCCTATTGGCGAAATTTTGGCGACGGAAATTGTCTCAATCCGGATTCATTCTATTCTGGGACTAGTAACCTCATCTAATTCTCTAATTCGGTAGTCTCGAGTTGACACTGCGACCGGTTTCGCGAGAAGACAAAATTTCGAGTCGTCGGCTGCTCATAGAAAAGACATGATGCGGACCTCAAAAATTTTTTCTTGGGTCCGTTTCTTATTTACTCTAAGTTGTATTTTCTATACAATAAATGCAACCTCAGTACAATGCCCGTCCCGTTGTCTGTGTTTTAGAACCACAGTTAGATGCATGTTTTTGAAGCTTGAGGAGGTGCCAGAGGTTCCGGATGATACAACAATTCTGTAAGTATTTATTTAAATTTAGTCAAGTGTGAGTGAATGCGAATGTTTTCTCTCTGAGCAGAAAGAATTTTTCACATATAATTCTATTTTAATCAATGTGAGCTTAAAAAACCTGGGGAAAATACATTCTCTTTTTACCGAATTGATTGTCAATTAAAATTTAGCGAATTAAAAGATGAAAGTAATGGAAATATTTTTTTTCTATCATGTTTTGGAGCGATTAAAAATTAATTAATATACTTCATTTTAATATTATTTTTTGAAAGCAATAGTTGAATCTGTATTTAGTAAAATTAAAAATAAAAATTACTTATGTTTCCTGTACATCCACATAAAACTTCTCATATAATTAAGCTGTGTAAGACGATCACTCTGTGTAAGAACCAAAATCTTTTTTAAACCGTGAGTGTTGTCTTATTTTTACTGTGTATGAGAAAATGAACAGTATTTTATTATTATTATTATTTGAAATTTAAGTAATTTCTATAACTCGGTAAAAACTGATGTAGCTCTTATAATTCAGTAAAAATGTATATTCTTTTTTTTAATTTCAAATTTAAGTAATTTATTTAATCATTTGAAACTTAATGTATCTCGCTGAATGAAGCTGAATTTATCTCATTAAATAACATTTCATTCAATTTTTTTTATCTATTATTACCAGACATAAGAACTCTGAACCTTAAAAATTCCTGACTTAGGAAATTATATATACATGTTTCTCGTTAGTTGATGAGTCGAAATTTTTCATTTCCTAGCAGAGATCTTCGTTCATGAAAAGACGAGTAAGTATGATATTTACATAGCATGTTTCATAGGTTCCTAAGGCTAAAGTTTTTCGATTTTAAGAGATGAAATTTATGCATTATTTCTTCTCTTCAGAAAACTTATTCCTAGCAATGAAAGACACAGAATGAAGTACAGTACAGGTAATTTATATGTAAAGCAGATCGAAATATGGTTAGAGTATAATTTTCGTTTTGACAACTGTTTCGAATTTAAATTTGCATAGCCTATAAATGCATATAAAATAAGTTTTAAAATGCATTTAAAGTGCATTTTAATATACTTTTATAAAATAAGAAGTAAATTAGAATATGAAATATTGATTCAATGAAAAAGAATATTCTTTTGTACATGAAATTCTAATTTTAACTCAGAAAATCACAATAAAGACGGACGTAAAACAAAGAAATCAAATTAAGATGCAGACTTTTGAGTTACTTATTATTTGGATATTGATACATTTTACATCTATAGCTACAGTATAAATAGTAATACAGTTAATTAATGATAGTATGGAGAATAAAAGTATTTGTTACGTTCATTTGGAATAATGAAACTGCCTTTAAATATTGATGCTGTCTGTCTGTTTAATTGTTTGAGGTTAAGAACTGCCTAAGAAACGGGAGGCCTTCATGAAGGACTTTTTAACGTATTCTCGTTATTCTGGTATTCTCGTTACACAATGGAAAAATTGTGAAAATTCCACACATTTAGCTCATCCAGCGAAATCCAAACCCGGTGAAACTACTAATCAGCAGACTTAGCTGCTCAGCCTGTGGTGAACTGGATTATTTGAGTTACGGCAAAGCACAAGCATCTGTCTGATTGAGATAAATTTGTGGGGAGTGGGCTTTTTAAAGAAAACTATGGTTCAGTTCTCGTTACATGAAAAAAATCGCGAAAACTACGATGCAAAAAGTACATTTGTCAAGGCCCGAGCTTTGGTGGACCATTGATTAATGTAACAAGATAATTTTACTTTTCATAGGCGCCATGAGAAACGAAAAATTATTCATTTGAAAAGGATAAATTTTAAAGGTTTGATATAAGTAAACTTGATCGAGCTGAACTGTTAATGCGATGTTCTGTGATTTATTAAAAAGCAAACATCGTATATTTCATATGTAAACTATAAAATAAATTTGTTTTGTTTATTTGATTATGACAACTCGATAAGCTCTCTGCCTGAAGAGAGGGTGGGGAAGATTTAAGATAAATCTAGCAACTTTTCACTAATTAGGTAGGCATCTTTTGTAGTTTTGAAATGTAGGCATCTTTTGAGAAAGATATTAATTTATATTGACGTATAAGTTTGTTAGATAATTGATTAAAGCAAAGTACATGAGGGAATGTCTTCTGCACAAGAGAAGGAATGTCTTCGTGGAGAACTTTTTCAAAGGAAACTGTTTCGATCTTTTATTATCCAAACGCAAAATAACAAAAAAAGCCAGCCCGTTCTCCGAGATTTAAAATTAGGTCAAACTACCATCATTCGTTGGCCCTATCGACTCGACCACATTTTGGCTTTAATATGCAAGATAAATGTTAATCTATTAATTAAAATAAACAAAACGAATATAAATATTTCTAACTAAACTAATTACAATTGAATATCGTTTATAGTCATAAATTTCAGGCCAAAAAAAAAATTCATATCACTAATTAAGCTTGTTTTTACAAAAAGCATATGTGACACATTAAGCCTGCGAACTATATATTTAAAATAAATAAACTTTAAAACATCCATTTTAAATTTATTTTAATTTAGTTTACAAAAGAAAATAATATGCGTCTGTAACTATCAAAAGAAAAACTTTTTTGCAACAGGATTAGGATAAAAAGCGCTTGGCAACATCTTTTCCATTATCTTGAATAGCAGAAATTCACGTGAAATATACAGCAAGATATATATATGTAATTTACTGGAGTCTTTGACGCTTCTCTTTTCGGCAGTTGATTCAGGGCTTTAATATTTGGTGGCAACAATTTTAAAAGTGGTTCGCCATTTCTAGTGAATCAACGAATTCCAAAACGAAATTAATAGCCCTTCTGGGCAAATTGCCCGTTTGGGCTAATTATACTTAATACTTTTGTTCCTTAAAAATGAAAAACTCTGAAAATACTTAAATGCTTTTTTTTTTATAAAATCTCTACATCCGAAGGCTGAATTTTTTTTTCATATATTAAAATATGCTACTGTTGGCAGCAAGCGGCCTTATACCACTTAAAATATTTTTGTTGCAAAAGTAAATTTTTTTTATAAATATTCCTTTGACTCTTATCTGTGCTAAATTTATTCTGATGGTTTCAGGATAAAATAAGTGAAACGTCTCGAGGTGATCATTTTCCTTAAACAATCACCACTCGAAAGGACCAATATTACTGAGGATATAAATAAATATCTCTCTTAAAATAATAATAAATATCACTTCTCTAACGAGACCACCTATATACAATATTAAAATTGTCTGGAAGTAAGGATGGTTATCTTAGAGAATTCATTTAAGTTAATTATTGTTAATAACATTTTATCTTAAGATATGAATAACTATACCTACAAAAATTTAAGGTTGAATTCTTAAGGTCCGTACGATTAATGTAAATCAAATATAAATTAAAATTAATAATTGTAAATCAGTTTTTAAGAAGTTTATTAATAATATTGATGAAAAATTTATTATCTGACATAATCATTAAATGAAATACTATTTGAATAGTAGAAAATATTAATGAATTTTATTTATAATCTATTTATTTTACTTCTGAGAAGTATAAAAACCTTTTTTTAGATACATATTATGGAAGTGAAAAAACATCACTTTTTACAATAAACATACACAAGGTATTGTCTTACTTCTTTCGTCATGTCTTCCTGGTGTAACTGGAAGCATATTCGATGCGTATTCGAGAAGTCCTGGATTCGAGTCCCTGCGAAGACATTGCACATTTTTTACGTCTTCTGCTTCAAAATAACCTAATGAATTTTCAATACAAACACACTTCGTTAACATTAAATGAAACTTCAACATTTTGCTTAAAATATTCATTAAATTTAATTTACATTTTATTAATTTTTACTTCAGAATTTGTTTGTACGAGTTTTAAAATTTACCCGCTGATTACCGCTGATAGCCATAAATTGCCTCGCATATTCCATGTTTTTTTCAGGCTGCTGCTGTAGACGAAGGCGAGACTCTGTGAAGCATCAACGAGTGACCTTGTATTATAGACAACTACACCTCCTATTATAATTTCAAACACACCTCTTGCAGTAAAAATCAGCGGTTGTAGGTCGCTATCTTACAGTGTTTATTTTTGAAAATGTATCTAGTCAAAATTCTGAGTTAGAGTATTTAACCTTTTGCTTAATGTGTGAAACGATGATAAGATATTACTGATTAAAAACTGGTACTCCCTAAGTCCCACAATAGTGGTAGAAACTGATGAATTTCATTTTTCTCGTAGTAATATTAGCAAAAGATGACAAATATAGAACGCAACACTTATTATTAAAAACTAGGTTAAATTAAAAATATTACTCCTTATTTTTATTTCGAGTATTCAGACAGTTTCTTGGATTTTGCAATAACTTCGTTACCTTATTTTGAACTTACAGGTAGGATCCCTCGGCTGCGAAGCTTTGCTTTTCCTGTATGCGTGAGCTTAAAATTATTGGAACCATCGTTTTTCATTCCTTCTAGCACAACACGTTGAAGTGACAGAAACCATATTGTCCAGTATTTCAGAACAAGTATTATCAAAAGCTAAGTTTACTGCTTTTCTTCTACTAAGAAGGAAATAGCTCAAGTTTTTCAAGTTTTTCTTCAAGATCTTTGCATTCACGTCTACATTTTTGTTTTTTTCAAAATATTAACTTAAGCATAAGATTAACCTTGACAATTATTTTCGGAAACATGTTTTCAAATTCTTGATATAGTCATTATATTTCACTTATTGTGCTGCACGCTGCACGTTTCTGCAACTTTTCATTTTTCTTTCCATGCATCAAGAACTGGACAATCGCAACTCCATGTTTACTTGAAAACTCTCTTTTTTCGTCTACTTTAACAATGGGTTGATATTCAACTAAAATAAAACAAATGATTTCGATCAGCGGATGAAATTAGAGAACTAGTTATAATTCGTAATAAATAAGTGAATCTAAAAATCAAAAGATGGGTCAGAACAAATGATAGATGTTAGATGTCATGAAACATTGATTTTGATTGAAGGCTTCGCAACTTTGAGCTACAACATAACTTACAAATACATTCGCCAATAATTCCCGCTTAGATATGCATATGAAATTATTATTAAGGGCTAGAAAGAGTATATAAATGGGAACAAAAATTTAAGTTAAAATTTCTCTTTTGTCTGATAAAATCTCAAATTTAATTCAGAAAGATACATGGTTATTTTCATATAATTTTTACTTTGGTTTAAAATAGTTATCTTCTCAACTTCGGTTACACGCAGAAATAGATTTTTTTAAAAAAATCTTACTAAAAATATGTATCATATAGTCGTAAAAAATTATTAGTTGTTTCATCTTTTGATGAGATACAAATTCTCGGTACAATCATATTCTAAAACCGTTTTAGTTGATGATTTCAGAGTATTTTCTTCCTCACTACTTATTCTTTACAATTCAAAATTGAACTAATATTTCGGGAATAATATTTTCAATAAAGAAAGTAAATTCTATATTAAAGTATCTGCTTCCTTTTTTCAATAATCCTTATTTTCTTTCTGTTTTTCCGGTGACTAAACGCTACAATTTATTTAGGGTTATTATATCGTGGTAAAAAGCATTCAGGATATTTGCTTAAGAAAAGAGATGCCTTCGGGAAAGACTTTTTAAAGAAAACTTATCATAGGATAAAAACCCACAGAAACACCCTGTTTTATTTCTAGAAATAAAGCCAGAGATGCCTCCTAATCAGACCTTGATTACTGTCTGGGCTCAGAAGGCTGAGGCCTAGGTTTCAAGTTTGAATTGCTACAAATCATATTTCTCATAATGTTGTTTCTTTTATCTAGTGAAAACGAGGAAACAGAGAATTGGAACCTTTGAAAGCGCACTGTGTATAGGGCCCAGTATTGTCTTATATGTGTAATTTTTTTCCCTGATCGTCGTCATATTCTGACTTTCGCTCATTCATTTCTAAATTGTTTCAAACCCTTTGATTACGGTGCAGGAAAAAATAGGTTTTGAAAATTAAGAGATTTTTCTAAAAAGCAAATTATGAATAGAACAAAGATTCAAACTCAGAATGATAACGTAAGTGGAGTTTTCCAATTGAACTAAAGCAAACAAAAATGGGCAAAGATACCATAATAGAAGAAGTAATATATTATTCTTGTGATATCATAAAAATATTTCACTATACTGGATAAATTAAAATTTAACTGTATTAAAATGATCTGAAAATTTTAATATGACGTGTTAAAACATAATTACAGTTTTTTATTATATTCATACCTGTCAGAAATGAATTTAATGAACGATAATTTCATTAAATTTGACATTAGATTTGTACCTTGTGAGATTAAAAAAAGTAGTACGTCTCATTTTTAAAGATGCTAGTGATATATAACCATGAAACGTCTGGATCTGGGTAGTTAAATGTGACCTTCAGACTTCACTTCTTTTTAAGAAACGTCTTTGAATTCTTAAGGAGTTCTAGATGCTGCGTTGGTGGTTACATCCGTGTAAAAATTACTCTTTTGAAATCTTAAGGCAAATATTCTATTTTTTAGAATGTTCTAAACTTATTTTAATTATACCTTAATGTGCTTATAGAAAGTATTTAATGGGGGAAATTTATATGTGTGTGTATGCGGAAAGTGATTGTAGAAGAGTATATATATATAATATTGTTTCAAAAGAATAAATTGAGTTTAATTAAAAAAATTAAATTTAAATACATATTTAATTAAATATTCTTTGCGCCATTGGCTGCAGGAATGAAATTAAATTTAAACAAATTTAAATCTAAACAAATACGTATAAAAGTAAAAAGTAGAAAAGCAATTAGAGCTTAAATTAGCTTTTTTACAAAGCTTTTTTTACAAATTAGTTTTCACTTTGTTACTTTATAGTATTGTTTAGAATTAAATTTGTTTAATATATATATATTTTTTTTAATTATTTTATTGTCTTTGATTTGTTTTACAAAGTTTGCTTATTTATCTTATTTAAATTCTCTATGTTATTCAACATTACTTGATTCGATTTCATAATGACAATTCCATGTTTAATTCTACAAATAATATAGTACTCAAATGCATAAACATGAAAGTGTCGGGACGGTTACTCGAGTTAAATAGGATTTCTCTACAGTAATTTTTTTATCCAAATTGAATTGACTAAAAATGCTTCATAAGAATAAGTTCTTTGAGTATCAGCATGGTTCATAATTCCTTCTATTCGCGGAATATTTGGTCTGACTAGAATTGCCGGTTTGGCTTTAACTTATAACTCGAGTAAAGACGAAACACTTTTCGTATTTACGTATTTTATCATTATTGTTCATTGAACGGGAGTTGGTTTGTTCCCCTTGAAAAGTCAACTAATTTCCGATCAATGACAATAATACATGTTTTAATTTTTCCTTTTACAATTGAAATTTTTATTCTTCATGATTGATTTTAACTCCAGTCCCCGTTAAAACATTATTAACATTTTGCTTTACAAATTACTTCAAAACATCTTTCAAAATATAACTTACCAGTATGGATTCACACTTTTTAAATAATTTACTTTAATTAAACTTAGAGATAATATAATCAATTAATCAATACTGTTTTTAGGAAATAAATATTATTACTATATATATATATAGTTATATATACGAAAAGGATGTATGTTGCAAATAGAAACATATGAAAGTATTCTTTCTTATTGCGCTTCTGTGTATTTTACGCTAATTATTAGTATACTTTAATACAGTTTAATTAGTATATTTTAATACAGTTTTTTTGCTTAATTTTCGAACTTTTAAAAATCCTTAATTATCCTTCCCTGTTAAAGCGATGTTCTGTGTACCAATTCGATGTATTATAAAGCTTCTCTTGCATACTGAATGCTATATGTGTTTTCTATAAAAGATTATTTTCAGTCCTTGAAATATTTATTAGCATTTTTCTCTTACCAAAATTTAATTTACCCTTAGTGATATTTTGTTTGATTATTTTTGGTTTTTTCCTAAGAAAATCCTTCATGAAGTCATCCCGTCAGGTATAAAACTTCAAGTGCTTCGCTTTAACTTATCCTATCACCTTGGCGTTTTCAGTGTATCTCACATTCATTTTCTGTTAGGTCGATATTTTTATTTGTTCACTTAAGCAGTATTGTTGGCAGTGAAAATTAGGATAATTCTGCTGTTTTTGTAACATCGCTAATCATCTACTTTATCATTAACTACCATTCAATCTAGAGCCACGCGTAAAAATTATCTAATATTTACTAATTTAGCCCCCTTCCCAAAAATATTAGCGTTTCTACTTAAAACATAGTTTAAAAATATCTATCATTCATATTTTCACCTTAGTAAGATATAGGCATTATCTGGATTTTCATGCACATTTTCTGCGTGTAATTTGCTGATGATGCGATGTTGGATACTTTCACGTGCTTGATTTTGCTAAAAATTGTATAATCCTTAGCCAGTTATTATTAAAAAAATTGTGAAAAAACAAATATCATTGTTAATTTTCTTGCTTGAGATCAGTCTTTTCTTCAATTCTTAATTATCCCTCCCCTCATCTGCAAGAAAAATTCATCCTTGACTTTTATGATATTCGCATCCTGTAGACTCATAAATCAAATTATATATATATATTTCATGAATACTTTTAAGTATGTTATCAGTTATTTGAAGAAATGAATAACAATTTTAAGATAAAATATGCTCATTTTTTGTGAAAATGAAGAAGCTATCAAGATACATATGGTGTTGTCTGGGTAAATAGAAAACACCTGTAGATTTTGGATTATATTAATCTATGGAAAGGGCTACCTTCGTAGAGCATCGTAATATGGAAATTGGCCCACATTTGTATTTAACATGGGGAAAACTCAGTCAGACAGTTAGTCAGACAGCTTTCCCAGAGCAGAGCCTAATGTGAACTACCTGTGCCTCGCGGAATAGTAATTAAAAAAAAATAAATAAATAAAGGGGGGAATCATACCGTACCACTTAAAAGTTAAG